CCCCTGCTGTCCTGTTTCTTCTTCCCGAGCTGCAATCTTCGGCCATCAGGCTGCAGCTGCTGCCCCCAGCCAGCCGCTGTCAATAGACAGCTATGGAACGAGCCTGGTCGCCCAGCCCCAGCCCCAGCCCCCTCCTGTGAGCACAGGTTGGATTTCCTGGCTCATTTCCAGCACAGAGAGCATGATGGGAGTGGCAGTGTGTGACCGCATGGATGGAGCCATAAAAGGCTCGGCAGCTTCTGTCTCGCTCTCTCTCAATTCTCTTCCTGCAGGGAAAGCCAGCTGCCATGTTGACAGGGGACCCAAGCAGCCCAATGGCGGCCGACCAAGGCCTCCTGCCTATATAGCCAACACCAACCTGCGAGCCCCATGAGGAAGCCTTGGCAGAAGCCCATCTCCAGCCCTCGGAGGTCTTCAGATGACAGCAGGCCCGGAGAAGATGTTGAGGGCCCCAGCCAGAATCCCTCACTTTACCGATCCACAGAAACTGCACCTGATTATGTACTTACTGTTTTCAGCTGCTAAGTTCTGAGTAATTTGTCATGCAGCCAAAGATAACAAAGACACTACCGAGAGCCCCTCTAGGAAGGAGGAAGTTGTAGCCATTTAGCTCTGAGTAGTTCGGTCCTTCCAGCAAAGTCCTTCTATCTGGAGACAGAGCCAGAGCCAGGAAGCTGACCTGTTGCTCTGAACAGCCTCCCTGTCCTGGTGACCCCACTTTCAGACCTGAGTGCAGGACTGAGCCGACCACCCAGACTTGAGCGCTCCAGATTCCACAGTGGTGGTTTTTCAGGGCTACTTAAGAAATGGTTTCTGAGGATGACTTGGCTTCCTGTGGAGGTCTGCCTCCTGGCAGAGTGTGCTGAGTATGTGGACCGGGACCATGTCTGGTCTCCGACGATAGCTCCTCGCGACGAATTAGCAAGCCAGAACTTCCTGCTTTCTAGTTAGCATGGAGTCAGTCTCTCAGGATGAGCTGTCCCTGGGCACTGCCGAGTGTGACATTTCCACCTCCAAACAGAAACCAGACCCTCC